CTCGCAGACACAAGGCTTGGAGGCCTGATAAATGGAGTACGTACATTAGTCAGGTATGTTGTTTTAACACTATAGTCATACCAAGACTTAATATATACCTAATTCTACCATAGCGGGTCAAATGACCCGACTCTATATTTCATGCTTGAATGTATGAAATATGGATGTTAGGAAGAAAATAAAAATAAAAATTAAATTAATTAAGCAAAAAAGTATGTTGAGCATTTCTATTACAAAAGCAGAAATTTAAAAAAAATTCATAGTTAATCGCATTTTTTACATATAATTGTGTCCATTGTACATTTTCCGCAAACATATTTTTTACATTTACTTAGAGCAAATTTTGTTGGTTTTGTTTTCTTTACAGTATCTTATTTGACAGCATATACAGTCTGTAGTAGACTTAGGCAACGATACTTTCGTATTTGTTTCTTGTTTTGGTTGTTCACGGACTTCTCGAAAATCGGCGCCAAGTTCTTCTGATAGCTTGAGTAAAAAATCTTTTCGCGAGATATTTTCTCCTGTCGTTTGCTTGTACAAAATCCAGTCATTTATGCCAGCTAAATCAAGGATATTGAAAAAAACTTGGAGAGGCCATCTGCAAGACTTGGATTTTTTTTAGTAAATTTCCTCGCCATTTGATCGGTAATGTCTACACCAAATTTGGTTTTATTGTAATATGAAATAGTTTCAGGTAAACGTTTATCATTTTGTTCTTCATCGTCAGTATCTGTTGAATCAGACTCATTTTTATTTTCAACCAATATATCTTCATTTTCAGAAAATTCATCTTCACTAATTTCTGAAAACTCTTTGCCAATATTATTTATATCTTCTAAGAACTTGTAATGTCTTGTTTGCTTCGACATTTTTCTGGGTAAATAATAAAAGGTACTTACCAAGACTTTCAATTTCTGCCACTTTTTCTAACAATAAAAAGCTATTTTCAATCTAAAATTTGATATTTTCTTGAAATTATTCTGAGCTATTTTCGTTGAACTACTTTGCGCAACAGTGTTTAGAAGAATGTGCAACTTACTGACTACAAATATGACTCGACAATCTCATAAATCAAAAAATTCTCTCCCATTGTGGTAGATATCGGTATACAAGAAGGATTATTCAGAATAAACAAAACAAAACAAGAAAAAAAATTGTTTATAACTCTTCTTTAATTACTTAAAAAAAGTCATGAAGTCAAATGTGCAAACGCAATGAAATTATACGTGCATTTTCAATGCAAAAGTTCAAAATGTTAGTATGTTTAGTGTTAAGTATGAATGAGATCTGAACGTAAAAAAAAATATATGCAATTCGTGTTTATAAGTATCATCTATGAATTTATTGTGTACCAGTATGCAACGCCCAAGAACGTATTTTTGCGCCAGGCACACATTTTCTACTGGCATCTCTGTAGCCATGTCGTGCTTGGAGAACATTATAGCATCAGCTTCTTCCAGAATTTCTTCTAAATTTTCTAACCCTTGAAGTGTTTCGATCTTGGCAATCATTTGGATGTACTGACCTTCTTCTCCCAGCTCAGCTCTATACTGTTTTATCTGATCTGCAAATCTTACGCGCTTTACTATTACGAAATCCACCTAAAAATCGTAAAATAAACAAAAATAGTCAAGCATGAGAATCATTTTTATATGAAAATAATTTCAGCTAATTCAATAACTTATTAGTAAGAAAATTCATTCTCAAGAGAACATACTTCATATTTGACCGCAAAGAGTAGATCAAGCTTTGTTTGGTTGGACAATGTAGTTGTTTCAATTGGAACTTCTGGCAAAGTGACCTTGCGATCGTTTCCTAAATTACCACCGGATAGAACTTTGCATGTCATATCAGTAGGGCCTATCGATAAATACAAATAAATTCATTAGCAGAGCATTTGATAATTATTTAAAATATGTTAATTGATACCTATTAGCTACCGATTAAGGCTGAAATAACTTACTCTACTAAAAATTGAAAATTACTCAATGTGAAATTAAAATAGTTTCTAAAATATTTCTATTATTATTCAAATTAAATAAAATTTATTGCTTAACATATCGGGATTACTATAACAGCTTCAAATTATTTACACAATCAGTATCATCTTTGAGTTATATATTGAATGCAGATTCTTGTCTATATTTGTTTTGATGAAAATATGTGTAGTTTGAAGAGTTATTCAAAATTTCAGAGACTGAAAATACAGCAATTTTAAAATAATTTGCGGTGTGGAATTATATTATTATAAAATTATATTTTTTCTAACAAAGTCCATTTTAGAACAATTTGACTAAACTATTGGACCACAAATAAAGTATGTTTCAAATATCAAATTATTCGTACAAATCGAGTGACTTCTGTATTAATTAGCCGGTTTGTAACCTGGTCAAAATTTAGTACTTGACTACTCGAATTTATTACCTATATCCAAAACTCGTAGAATAATTTCGCCATTATCAATCACGATTCGATTGCCAGGTTTAACTGTTTCTCGCAAATGTTCACAACTTAAATAAATCAAGTCACTGCCGCAACTGGCATAAAATGCAGGGTCGCAGGTAATGCGCACCGAGCTACCCTCCTCAATTGGAACTGCGTTCATGTGCTAAAAACAAAAAAAATCAGGACTGTATATTATTTAATAACAAATCTAAAATAGAATTGCTATCCTAGAAGGAGTTACAGTATATACATATATATGAACAAATTTTAATTATAAGAATGAAACTTTTCGGTTAGTTATGAATGGAGGCTAGAACTTCTGTCAAAACGTATGGATTTTTATAAACTTATACATACTAGTTGATGAGTTACTAATATGTATAAGAATGACACATAATTCAGCTTAAATCTAGTTAAGTTTTATATATAAATATAATTGTGCTCAGACCAAAAAGTATTAATCGATGGGCATGGAGAAGAAATGATAACCAAAAACCAGATTTAAAACTATTAACAATATTTCAGTTTAGTAGTTTCGATGCCAAAGTTACAAAACGAGGCAACAACTAATAAAGAATTTCAGTCGTTAATAAGTTTAAGCAAATCAATGAATACCTAAGATCTGCGCGAGGTTAGATTTATCAATAGATTTATAGTATTATAAATGAATTAAATATCTAATTCTTATTTTTAATAAGACGTTTACATTTGCAAGTTGACCCGTTCTGACTTCCGAGCCACGTGGTTCTATTGCGATTCCCAGAGTCATGAGCATCCCTTGCCGCGTACTGTAATTGTTGTTAGACATCCTTAGTGAATTTAATTCCTAAAAAATATAGGAAGAATATAAGTTACAATATGATTCTATCAGGAAGTTATAATATTAACATGCTGATGTATTGGCTTAGATAGATTCGCATTGAAAGAGTTCATTATTGATATAACACAATATTTTTTTCTCCAATTGTCTGCGTCTATTCTTATTCTTATTTGAATTATTCTTAATTAAGAGAATTTGATTATTCTCTTTTGAAAGCAAGCTTTTTGACTAAACGTCTGGATGTAAAATAATTATAAATAATTTTAACATGATACAGTAATTTGAACGAACAATTTCAAATCGAGAGTATGTTATATGATTTCGATAAAATTGAAGATTTAAAATTAGATCCAATCTAATAAATGAATAAATGAATATATTACACCTAAGTCTGTTTTTACACGGAGATTGGTTCCAGAAGAAGCCGTGTAAAAAAAAAACGTGTAAAAAAGACATTAATCTTATACAAAAATGGGTGATTTGTCCTAGTCTCTAACACCTATTAAAATTAGTGAAAAACAAGAATTTTCAAGAACAAGAATTCATGTTTATTTTAATAATAATTCCCCTAAATTAGTGCTATTCACATTTGCTTTGACCAGTAAAAATTGTTTGTACGCACTAAAGGAGAATTTACTTAAATCTTTAAGCTAGTGTTCGCAAACTATCGATACTATCGATGGTTTCAGATTTTTTTCTTTCATAAATACTTTTTTGTGATATGAACATTCTTCGCAAAAATTAAATTTGACAAAAAAATTTAAGTACATAAAATTTCAAATCGTGCTAAATGGAATAAAATCGTGTAAAAAAATTAAAAATATTCAATTTTTAAACCGTGTTATATCAAAACCGTGTACAAAAAGACCGTGTAAAAACAGACTTAGGTGTATTTTATTATTGGTGAACTAAAATTTGATTTTCGTTAATAAAATTTACAAATCTCAGTGTTAGAAAATTTTTAATATAAATTTATTTAATTTAAACCTATTTTAGATTCTTACTTGTCTGTGGTGCTCTAAATCGCCGTGCACCATATTAATCCTAGCTATTGTCATTCCAAGCTCTAACATGGTTTCAATTTGTTGCGGCATTTCAGAGTTGGGACCTTATTAGATTTATAATTAGCAATTAAAATTATCTAAAATGAAAATAAAAATACATAAAAAATATCCCACGAAAATAAATTACCAATAGTGCACATGATTTGAGTAATTCTACTATTTTTAAGATCGCAGTCATATTTCATATTACTCATATGCTCAATATGAGATTGGGCATTTGTAGATTTTATTTGAGACTTTCTAATAGCATCTACTGCAACGTCCTAAAAATGTAATAAATTATTATTATTGTTACAAAATAATGAGAACTATCAGATATATAATATACTACCAGATAACTCAATATGAATGAATTATGTACATAAGGCTAATAAATTAAAATGACAAAAGTATATATTTAAAAATTATGCGTTTACTGGCTTATGCGTTTAATGACTTTTTTACTTATAATGAATCTCCACGGATATCGAATATCATTAAATTATAAATTTTTGAACAAAATTATTGTTTTAACAATGTTATAATATAAATATTATTTTTACTAAAGACAAGTAGTGAAATAAAAGCTGAGATTAAAAGTTAATGGATAAAATTGTAAGATAGAAAAAAAAATCTTATTCAGTATTTTATTTATGTCTATTTGAATGTCTTGATATGTAATATCAAAATATTTGACCAATTCACAGTACAAGTATTTACATTATTTAATGTACCCTCCCGCCGTACATGAATCAGTTTTGAAACTGTTATAATATTAAGTATATTGATTAATTGTTTTTTTATAAAAGTATCAGTTTATTATATTGTGGACGAATTCTTACCCAAGGCAAAATATACTCCTGATCTGCCCATTTCTCCATTTTGAAATTTAGAAAGACTAAAAATTTATAGAAAATCACAAAAGTACAAAATTAGAATTTAAAGTATAAAAAATATAATTTACATGACGGAAAATTCAATTGTTTTCAAAAAATCTAGCTGAGTACTAGTCTATTTAACTTATTTTAATAAGAAATATTTTTTTCCAAGAAAAAGTAGAACGTGTAATTTAAAGCTGGCACATCATCATACCTCGCACAATTTTTTCATATTAACTTAAATAAGCAATCAAATGAGTCAATTATTTTTACAGATCTGGGCAACATCGGATCACAAGTTCTCACAAAATTGGAACTAATAGGCTCTTATAAGTATAATTTTTACTGAAATTTAGTCGGAACCTGTTTTGCAGTTCCTATCTCGATAACAAATTAATATCTCGATAATATATACTTATTGGTAAAAAATAATAAATATTAGTATTCACTCCGTGGGAATTAATGGCACAATAAATGTAGTTCGACGTAAATGTACGCTACTTTGCAAGACAAAATTGATCACCTAAAAGAAGAGTTAGTTCGGCAAACGACAGTAGTATTGTTTTCCTCGCGCCCGGAATTTAAAATACAAGATGAAATAGTGGCGTCGAACGTGTTTTATTAGTCATGGTAAGGGTTATATAAAATATTTAAAAATGAAACTCATACGTAGTTTATTTATAAACATAATTATATGAAGATTTAACTTTATGTTTATGCAAAATACTGACTGAATGAATAACGATTTTATTCTATTGTAGTTGTTTCTCTGAGGAATAAGATGAGAATAATGACAAAGTAGTGGTAGGTGCAAGAGCATCAAAAATGAGTAAACAAATAGAGTGAAAATGTTTTTATTAACTATGGTAGCATTATAATAATTATATTTTTTATCTACTAATTTAAAATTAAAAATTAAGATTGTGGACATATACGGGAGAAAGAAAAAAAAGTGAACTATCAACTTGGACATGTCTAAGATCAGAGCATTGATTGTCCAGTATTATGACTGCTCAACTGAGACGAAGCATGAACACTTTATGCATGTGGGCCATTCTTATGAAATGGAATGGATTTAAGATTGTTTTGGTAAACCCTTTTCTAAATTCTGTAGTTTCATGTTATACACGTAGCTTGTTGAGTCTCCTTACTTACCTCACGTAGTGAACGTTTGTCACTTTGACTTCGGTATCAATGGCAAACGATACAAAATATACGACGTACGAGGCGCGGAAAAAGCCGCGGCGACCCAAAAATACGGATTCGAAAAATTCATATACCAACAAGATCACGTAAAACCATATCCTTCAAATGTTTTGCATTTCACTATAGATTTCAAAATGGTAGTTTTTTGCCCTTCGAAGGTAAAATTAATATTTATTCGACGAAAAAATTGATTCCATCATATATAATATTATATGGTACTTTTTTAAATATTCTATTCTACAATATATTTCTGCAGTTGTTTTTCATCTAATTTTATTATTCAGGAATACTCATAGTAAAGGACAATAAAAACACTTACGTATTATATGAAAGATGACTTCGGTAGGTAGGGAAGGGTACGAGTGTACCATGGTACGAAAGTGACAATTGCCATAACAGCTATACTATACTGATTTTGACATAGGGTCTAAAGGGCGAAAGACATAATATATTTGTTCGAACATTTTCCCATTATCGCATTCGATGTTCTTTAACTTTTTCTTGTATACAATTAGATCACTTTGTTTATTATTTTGCTGTAAGTTGAAAATTAGTTAGTTAATTAACAGCAATTAGTTTTTGCGTAGATAATTTAGCTCAGACATAACGATGATTTGTTTTCAAAAATGTACGTTGGGTACGGTTGTGACATATGGCTTTTATTCGATACTTGATTTGATTTGATTTTTTTTCATTTTGGTCTCAAACTATTCAGATTGACTTCGAATTTTTTGGCGTGTTATATGCTGGTCTTTCTGTCTAGATATTTTGCTCTTGACTTCAAATTATGAATTTGGCGCAAGCATAGAGGTAAATCAACAAGTGCCTTTGTTTAATAATTTCAATATTTGATTGTGTTTTAAAAATACTTGAAATACTTTAGAAGATACTGCATGTTTTACAAATATCGTAAATATTAAACCGCAAATAAGCTTTAACTTTATAGAAGGAACATCTGTTGGATTCTCTCACATTTACATTATGTTTTCATTATAAAAGACTTGAAAGCATCTATGCAGATATGATAAGCAAGCGTTCCTGGTGCTCCCTCGTACTATCGTATAATAATATAAACAAGTTTTGTGCTATGGCTGGACCAAACACAAACGAAACTGCATAACTTTGGATTCTATGAGATTTCTTCTCAATAATTTTGTTTTGGAATAGTTCGGAAGTTGAAAACTTTCAAAAATATCCTAGGAATTTTGAAATATTTCTCAATGCGGATCTTATAGAAGGAACTTTCGAGATGCGTTTTGAAATGCGAGCATTGGATTTTAAAACGATTCGTATTCCGATGTTGGTATTTACACTTACTTCTGAAATGCCCTCAAAGCACTTTGCAAAAGTATCTACAACTCGGTTAACAACTTAGTACAGATTCAATTCAGGAATTTTACATATATTTATATCGGAAGCATTGTGTATAGGTATGTACTTATGTATAAGTTGTGTATCGTTGGAAACATTGTGTTTAGTAATTAGTACAAAAAAGTTTATTCATTCTGTTCTATCCATTTATATTTAATACTCGATTTTATTTTTAAATTTATTTAATCAATTACTGTGCTAACTATAACTTTTATAGGCGGAGAGCTACTGAACCTTTTGAATGACGGTGTACCAAAATCATCTCCTTGCAATTTTTTTCTGCACATTATCATTTAGCAATGCAAACAATGTCAAAATAATCCAAAAATTACTTGTTCCTATTTATTAAGAAGTGCAAAAATCAAACTGCTAGGCGATTTCAACCTGCACAAGTACTTGTCAGGCGAGCTAAAGGGTTCACTTTTATGAGCAGATGTATGCATTAAAATAAACTTTGTTCTATAAGGTTAAGAATTATATATATATATATATATATATATATATGTGTGTGTGTGTGTGTGTGTGTGTTTGTCTAAGCAATTTTAAAACAGTATGTACAATGCCAAGGCGATTCTGTCCAACCTGAGCCCTTACCAGGCGTAGGAAAAGGAAAAGGCGTAACGCGAAAACTGATACCATACGTGTAAATTATATTATGTGAAAATTAAAAAATAAGTTTATGGCCGAAATTGATTTAATTATTTACAATAAATATACATTTTACTTTTCAAATTAAAATTCATCATCAGATATACCGATATACGGTTTATTAAACCATATTATTTTTATAGTTAAAATAACAAATTCTATTTATTTATTGATATCTGAAAGAGTTATTGGTCCCTATGGTATAAGTTTGTTTTATTATACGTATTGCTCTAAATTTTCCACATAAATCAAAATCCATTTGGTCGTTCAACTCGTTGTAATATTCCATTTTGTCGTTTATCTTAGAGACGTTTGTGTTTTGACATATCTTGGCAATAGTTGCGATCGTGTTATGTACGAAGCGGGCGTTAAACGCACTAAAATGTAATCTTCTGTGAATTCCCAAAGCGGAATAAAAATAAAATGACAATAGCCAATCTTGGTCCGCGACCGAAGTTTTAGAGCTTTTCCTCTTTTGAACTTTCGACCATAGAGAATATGCGCATTCTCGCTTGATTGAATCCGCATTACCGATGCTGCTGTTTTGTGTCCATGGCACTTTTATGCAAAATCGAACTTGGAACGGAATCTTGTTGGCTTAGGACAGAATAAGAATGACGATTTTTCGCAGCGGACTTTCGTGCTATTTTATATTAGTAACTTTTATTGGAAACAATAACTTTACAGTCAGCAAAAGCACTCTATTTAACTTTTCGATAGGAAAAGATATTATGTTTTTTTATTGCAGTTATGCAATATATATATATATATATATATATATATATATATATGTATATATATTTGGCCTTGCTTACTCTGAGCATTTAGCCACCTACAACACTTTTATTTATTTACATTCTAATTTTTATATCATTTTCAATCTAAATATGTATTATGTTCTATATTCTCTTTCTTCTTCTTAATTTCTTAAATTTTTGCTCTTTTTTAAATTTCTAATTCTATTTTAACTTCTAGCTTCATTTCATTTTTTTCTACATTCTTCTTTTAATTTCAGCTCAGTTCCAATAATTCTCTTCTTACTCTTAATACAATTCGGCTATTCGAACTCTGTTATTCCTATTTTTCTTAAATTTTATTCGAATTCTACTCAACAACACAATTTTTATTTGATTTCAAATTAACTATACATAGTTTTTTCTTATATTCTAAGTTAATGACAGAAGATCCCTGTCGTGTAAATGGAAACACTTTTATGACCACCAGTGAGCTATGCTTGCCACACACACACACACACACATATATATATATATATATATATATATAATTTAAATTTCTAGTACAATTGTATCTTGTTCACTCCGGATAATTAAGTTGAATTTTGCCAATATCAAGAAGTATAAATACGTGCTAGTTTTTTTAAAAAAAATACAAGGGTAAATTATGTTCTGATAAAAAACAATATTGTTTTCCAAAATTGTTTATTTATTTTCCAATAGAATTCTAGCGTCCTCCATAAAATTATATTAAAAAGAATAAACAATGAACCGAAACAAACCGGCTTGCTTTTTCTAACCGTGAACCGGAGTCCGGAACAAACATGAGAACCGGTTCTTTAATTTTAGTGTTCCGGTAAAAAAAAATAGCACAACACCGCTGATTGACAATCATAAATCACAAATATCAAGTTATTGTGATAATTTTAATCGCAATTTTTGGTATTAACTTACAAATTAATTATGTATTAATTAATCAATCACTCGTATGTATCTGATTTTTACATTTATTAGAACAATGAATTAATTAGAACAATGTATTTTTTGTATATATAGAAAAA